GAGAATATCTAACCATTTCTTGATGTTATAGAAAGGTAGCAAATTATTCTCAATTATTTTAAGACCTCGAGTGTTGGTCTGGCTGGGGCTCGAACCCTCGACCTCCCATGCAATGGTCCAGCGCACTATCCATTGGGCTAACCGGGCGGCAGTTATCATCTCATATCCAATGCGCGCTCTTGGAATAATTGTTAAGTATATTCCCTGTGATGTTCTTCAAACATTTCCAAAGGTGCTGACAAGGGGGATTTGTTTAACAATGAAGAGCTTCTTTAGTTGGTGATCATTTTTTTTATTCTTGTGACCTTAAAGTGTGATTCTGGGGTGAAATTGTAAGGAGAAATTAGATGCTGGTCACTCCTTGAGGTAAAAGGGTTGATAAAGTAAACTTTGTCAGCAGGGCTCGACCCTAACTTTTTAACTTACTAGCCAAGTGGCTAGGGACATCTTAGATGTTTTTAGATGTTACGACAATTTCAGTCTGTTTACTAGCCAAACTGGCCAGTGGAAATTGAAAACCACTAGCCAAAACTGAATTTCTACTGGTCTGTGGCTAGTGGGCTACCGTTAGTGTCAAGCCCTAGTCAGGTTTGTAAAAAAAAAAGTTGTTACATTTAGTTTGTGAATATTCTTGTACAACAATCTCTTGGAAAATTGACAATGACTTTGGAGCTCTCTATTGATGCAGTATTTCAATTGGCCAGTGTTGATATATCTTTTTTTTTCCTATTTCAGGATCAAGTTGGAACCCTAGTTATGTCTGATATGGCAGAAAATGTGCTGGTTAGTACAAACACTGTTTCTTTGATCAAGGGTAAGGAAGCTCAGATCTATGGTTTTCAGGCCTGTAGGTTTTTTTCATTACTTGTTTGGTACCAAAATTGTTGCAACAACACAATCATTTGTTAGTACTCAATATGAAGTAATACTGTATTTAAAATTTACTTAACTTGAAATATTTCCCTGTTTATCTAGGCTCTAGTCTCAACGGAAAAGTTTTTTTCTGTTTTCTAAATCAAAGCTTTGACCCCACTTCTCCTGTCAAAAATTCCCAGATCCTCTCCTCTTCTCTCCTCTCCTCTCCTCTCCTCTTCCCCCCC